GGTATTTTTGCTGAGTTCTAGGATGAAATTGACACAGTTCGATCACCACACTCTTATAGCGCTCTGGTACCGCTGCCGCTGCATAGTTTGTTTATTAAAATTACATTTTGCCATTTTGTTTTAATGTGTAGACTTCTTTTGACAACATGAAACTTAAAACTTGTTTAAAATAAAAAATTTGTATAAAGAAAATTACAAGGTTTGTAGGTTTGTAGCCACTTAAGACAGTTTTATATTCAAGAAATAAGTTTGTTTTTCAATAAAAAGTGAGACACAACCTTGACCTCAATTCTAATTTCTTGCGTCATAACCTCAAAATTTTACCTAAACTGTCAAACGAAAACAAGCCACAAATCTAATATACATAGACGTTTCATTCGCGAATGTCATTGTCACTAGATGGCGGACCAGAAACGTCAAAAGTATAGCCACTAGATTACATACATGGTGGCGGTCATCTTAAGCTCCCACAACCTACTACGATACCAGTTTTTAAGCGCCCGTTTTATGAAAATTTATGAATGGAGTTGAAACACCTTACTTATACCACCGTGGTTGGCACGTATACAATTTTATGTAAAAACAAAATTCAAAATATGCCGTATTGCTTCATTTAAAATCCTACAAAGTGAATTCACTAACAGTTCCAACATCAGAGATGTTTGATATTTTTGTGAAGATGGAAAAAATATTTTGAAACACTTTACATCTTCTAAATAACAATAACATTAAAAATGATCAAATATGCAATATGGTACTCAACAGTTTGGAAAAAACAATGTTTTGTACCTGCGGCAATAACATAATTGAAAGTATTGTTAAATTATATATAAGAAGTAGGGTGTATTTTTATGTAAAAAAACGTAACCAAAATAACAGAACAATAGTGTACAGTTCAAAGTCTATGAATAAAAATAATAGGAGATACATATGCTTTTTTTGCCCCATTTTCTTGGAGAGATTCATATACTACAACGTAGCACAGAGTCAAAGCCTGTTTTGTTGTCAAAACTCAAAACATCATTTTGTTGTTTTTTGCAAGTAAGTATGTTCTGTTATTCGTGTGGAGATTTGCGTTAAAATCAATAATTAATATATATAAATATATTAATAATAACAATTTTTCCTGTTTTGTGTATCAAATTTTAATTTTACACAATTTTTAATTTAAAGCAGGCGCCATTTTTCGCCTGGATTTTAAGTTGGCAGCACTAGTGGGACCAGTTAGTGACCCGATGTCGCTATTATATGAAATATAGTGGCTATAGTCAAAAGCACGGTGGTAGAAGTAGTCAAAAGAAAGCGGAAATCAAAACAAATAAACTGACAGCTACCTAACCTAACTTTACTTCAACAGTTTTGGCGACAGCTATCTAGATTTTGCGATTTAGAGCAGCTTTCAAGACAAAAGGGTACAGGTGGTGGGAGTGCGCAGAACATTGTTTTGGTTTGGCCTTACAAATATCGTGCAAGCAGTGGCAGCGGCGATGAATATTTCGATTTTAAATATTAAAATATTATTGGGGTTAATAAAAATATCACTTTTCTATTTTATTAGCGTTGACATTATAGAAAAAGAATTTAAACAATTATTAGTGCTATATTTGATGTATGAGTTGAATAAAAAAGTAAGTAAAAGAAGTAAAAAGGTAATTTTTAGTGAGCAATAAGAACTGTTAAATTAGGGTACAGTCGAAGCTCTAGTTATAAACGACAATTATGCTAGAATATGAACTGTGATTATTACTTCGATGTTAAAGACAGAAAACGTTAAGCCTTATTATAATCCGACTTTACGGTATCGATAAATTGTGCCAGAAAATAAAAAAACATCTAATTATAGTCATAGGTTGCTTATTCTCAGAGTTTTAAGCCAACTTTTATCTAAAGATTTAACTGTTGATTTAAGACTAGTCGACTATAAAATAGTATATGATACTGGTTTATAATGAGGGGTTCGTGAAATTTTTTACTCATGCTATAATCCCTCACATTATAAACTCGTTTAATAATTAAAAATACCAAATTTTGTGTGATAGATTATCATAATTTATTGTTACGTAAGTCTATTTTTTTAACAAACAAATTAATTTATTTTTATTAAATGGTTGTCTGTATTCTTTTGTAGAAATTGCTCTTTTTTTAATTGTTTTTGAAAGAAGTACAACTCAGCCGAGCCTCCCTTCTCAATGCATCGATGTTACGCCACTGATGGCCCGGCTACAAGTCGCGCAACTTAAGCCCCGCCCCTGTACCCTTTCGTGCTGAAAGCCGCTCTACATTTGGTATCCTATTTGTTTTGCGCTTTTATTATTGTATAAGACGTGTGAAGTGCAAAGTGTTAAAGTGTAGTGTAATTTTATGAAGTATTTATTGTAGATTCTAGTATGTCCAAAGTGTAATTACAGGATTACTAGATATGTTAAAATATACCTGTATAAGCAAATCTAAAAAATATTAATGCAATGATAAATCACAAGTAAAAACTCATCATGTTTTGTACATTTCAGGGAGATTTAGGAATTTAACTCGTTACTGTGGAAATTTGCAATTCAACACCTTTCAATTTCACGTTTTTACAAGATTAATAGGGGCAAAATCAGTTTTATCTTAACAAATACTAGCACCGCTCACCCGACCCCTATTTTTCAGAGGATATGTCATTTGCCGAAATAAGTCTTATCTTAGCAAGTACTAGCCCCGCCCACCCACCCTTTACTTTCTTAGAGGGTATGTCATTTGCCAAAATCAGTCTTATCTTAGCAAGTACTAGTCCCACCCATCCACCCTTTACTTTCTTAGAGGGTATGCTATTTGCCAAAATCAGTCTTATCTTACCAAGTACTAGCCCCACCCACCCGCCCCCTATTTTCTCAAAGGATATGTCATTTGCCAAAACAAGATTTTTTAGCAAATATGAACCCCCCCCCACCCGCCTCAGAGGATAGCACTTGCTAAGATAACTCTTATTTTGGCAAATGACATATCCTCTGAGAAAATAGGGGCGGGTGGGCGGGGCTAATACTTGCTCAGATAAGACTGATTTTGGCAGACGCCATATCCTCTGAGTAAATAGCGGGCGGGTGGGCGGGGCTAGTACTTGCTCAGATAAGACTGATTTTGGCAGACGCTATATCCTCTGAGAAAGTAGCGGGCGGGTGAGCGGGGCTAGTACTTGCTCAGATAAAACGGATTTTGGCAAACGCCATATCCTCGGAGAAAATAGAGAGCGTCATCAGTTTTTTGGGAGGGGGTAAATAATAAATTTTGCTGAACGATTTACCATGATTATGATAACCTTAAAATATTTACAAGATTTCCAAACAGTCGGCTTTGCAGTGTCAAAGTTCTATTGCAAAATATTCTTATTCAGTTTTAAATTTTTTCTAAAAATTTTGGATGTGAAAATTCGACACAGATTCACACACCACAAGTATAAGAGTGTCTTTTTTTATGAAATTAAAAAAACTTTTGTGGTGACCTAATTTGAATTAAAATTTCGAGCTGAAAAAATTAATAGCAGCGCGAAATCACATTTGAATAATAATTTGAATTTGAAAAAAAATTCAATCAAAAAAGTCGTTACACATAGGCAACCATGTGCACGTTACCGCTTTTTGGGTAGTGGGTAGTCCTGGGTTGGTCGGGACAAACTGGCTGCTTGGTTGAAGGAGGTGAAAGCGTCACTTTTGGTGTGTTTCTGTGTTTGTGGTGAGTGTAACAACGTGGTGAGTTGGGTTGGTAGTTAATAAAAGGGAGGAAGCTAATTCTTGCGGCTTTCTAACCGGAAAAAAGTGAATTTTTGACCGATGTTAACACGTGTAAATTTGATTCATTGTTTGTAAATTCACAGATCAGGTTAGGATTTTAATCGTTAACTGGTGCTAACACAATTTAACAGACATTAGATTTATTTAGATAAATCACTTACGAATAACATTTTTGGGTGCTAATACTTATAACACTTCTTAATTTTTCACACAAGATTGCTAATAGTTCATTTACGGCAGTTAAATTAACAAAGTTTATAATATCGTGTATTTTGTTTGATAGACAGTCCACGATATGATCTTCGAAAAACGAATTGTTTTAAGTTTTGTTCGGATCGTTGATAAAGTGTGGCGTTATTGAACATAATGTAAACTCTTTGTTTGAATCGTTGATAAAGTGTGGTAAATATTGATCTCATGTAATTTTGTTAGCTTAATTTTTCACCCCATGCAATTTTTCTTTATCTCACAATTTTAACTTCAGTAATTTTCTTTGTTAGAAATTTTCATGCTCTGGAATTTCTAACCTCACGTAATATTTTTATCTGCACAAGTTTTATTTCACACCAGATCTTTTGTTTTTTTTAATCTTTGCTAGTTTTTATACATATTGTAAATATTGTGCTCTTGTTGATTGCCATAATTTAAATTTGCCGCCACATGTCCGTAATAACTTGTATTTAGCCTTTTTTTTTCTAAAGATACATACATAGTATTCTTTGGACAACACGATACTAAAAAATGTTTTTAATTTCTTGTAAAGGAATAAGTATTTTGCAGTTAAACTCCACCTTCTTAAATCACGGAAAATAAAAAAAATCATCACAATTGAGACAGGGCGGGTGGGCGGGCTTACTTTTTGCCTGTTTGTTTTAATATGTGTAGACTTCTTTTGACAACAAGAAACTTAAGACTTGTTTAAAATGGAAAATTTGTATAACGAAATACCGATTTTGCAATTAGGCTAACCATGTTTTAAGTTTGTTATTGTGAAAAGATGGCTAGGTATATTAAGAAAAAAAGGCAAAATATAAGCCCCGCCCACCCGCCCCCTCTCAATTCTTATGATTCCTTGTCTGGAGACACTGTTGACTATTTTGATAGGATTTAAATAAAAATGTTTCTATTTTTTGGAGGCTTACGTATAGGTGCACTGTTTACATGTTACAATCGAATTTATCGACCTTAGTTTCGAGCTAGCACGGGTAAACATCCAAAGTTGAACATCGCTAAAAAATCTTCAATTTATTTCGTATAAAAATACAACTAATATAATAATAAACACTGGTAGAAAACATTCAGTGGTTTTTGTTGACGGTTTTTGTTACCGTGGACACGCCGTCCACAAACTGCGTCCTAAAAAGCACGTTAGCGTTGTTGAACATCCCGTCTTTCAAGGACACAATGATAAACTGTAAACTATCGATTAAAAAAAAAAAAAACTTCAACGAAAACTGAACAAACCTGAGATTTTTTGAAGTGAGTCTTCAACATGTTGCCGATATTTTGCGTGTGCGACAGATCTAAAGCCGCGTCCACTTCGTCCAAAATGTACAGAGGAGCAGGCTTAAACAATAACATGGCCAAAATTAGCGACAATGCCGCTAAAGAGCGCTGTCCTCCGCTTAACTCCGTCAAACTTTCCTTCCAAACGTCACCCAACGACACTTTAACCTATAAAAAAAATAATAATAAAAAAATAAAAAAAAATCCGGAAACGTATCAAACATGACCCTACCTCTAGTCCTTGGAGAATCGTCTGCCCGGTAGGTGGCAGCAGCTTCGCGTTGGCCCCCGGCAACAACGTACTGAAAATCGACCCGAAATCCTTCGATATCTGGTCGTACGCTTTCCTCAAGATCTCTTCTTTTTTCTTATCCAGATCTCTAATCACTTGAAGCAACTTTCTCTTGTCTTGTTCCACAATTTTCTGCTTTCGTCTCAATTCGCTGTATTCTTTCTCCTGTTGTTCGAAGTGCGCCTGCGCCTTGTTGTTAATCGTCCGACCTAAACTATTTTTCATTTCTTGCGACTTTCGTATTTTCCTCTCCAATTCATTCCCGTCTTCGTCGCTCATACCCTCGGCGTCCTTCAGACTGCTTTCTTTCGCTCTTTTCTCACAATCCGCTTGCTTCTTATTCAAATTCTTGCAGTCGTCTTTCAATTTTTTAAGCTTGTGCGCGTTCTCTTTTATTTTAATTTCGCAACTGGTGATCAAATTTTGCAGCTCTTCTTTTCGCCGGATTTTTCGCTGAACGTCTTTGTTTTTCTCTGCTATGACCGCTTTTTCTTGTTTATACTCAGTTTGCAACTTGGACACGTTTTCCTATTTATAACACTAGTAAAAAAAAAAAAAACGAAACTTAAACCGCGCTACTTACGTTCATTTCTTTCGAATTTGACACAATCTCGTCGTGTTTTTCCTTTAGTTGTGCTACAGTTTCCTCACTCGCTTTTATCTGTTGTTGCGTATTCTCTATACTCTTCTTCAACTCCTCAATCTCCAAGTTGAACGTCTCGTAATCCTGCTCCTTCTGCTTCCACTCTTTCTTACTCTTGTCGGCTTTCATTTTCAACTTGTTCATCTCGGTTTCGGCCTGCTTTATCTGCCCGTCTCGTCCGTCTTTCGAATTCTTGACCCGATCTTCCAAGTTTTGGATCTTCTCCTTAAATTTCAGCTCGTTTTCGATACAATTTTGTATTTTCTCGTTCAGTTGTTCTAAAATTTGGCAGTTATAATAAAGTCACGTTTTTCGTGGCCACAAACCTATTTCCGTCCGCAAATTCGCGATTTCTTCCTGGTGCCTGTAGTGCGACGTTTGCTGCAGTCGCTGCTTTATTAAACTCAACTCGTGCTGTTTTATCTCTAGTTGTTGTTTTAAATTCGCGAACTGGTTTTGTTTGGCGCTTAAGTCACGAATTTCGGCTTCAACTTGGGCCAGTTCTTGCTCTTTTGCGCTCAGTTCGGCCTAAATTGAAACGTTTTTTAAAAATGGCGCCAAATTTTAGTCACGCCTACGTGACGTCACTTTTGTGTAGGCGTGGCTATTGTTAAGGGGGTATCACTCGGCCTGAGAGAAATTGACTTAATTGACAATAAGTTGACATATTTTGTCCCTCTTTTATTAAAATTTGATTTTCAGTTCTGTTTTCTGTGTTAAAAAAAAAAAGTAAAAACATGCAAAAATGACGAACAACGTACACTTTGTAGTGCGAAAAAAATTTAAAAAATGCAATTTTTCGATATTACAGTTTCTCATTTTTCGATTTTTCACATTCTCAGATTTTGATTTTTGTCATTTTCAATTTTTCGCTTCCTCAATTTTTCAAGTTCTCGATTTTATGTCACAAATTTTATTTTCTTGTTGTTTCTTTCGATTTTACAATTTTTCGAATTTTCAGTTTCTCAATTTTTCGTTTCCACAATTTTTCATGTTCCCGATTTTTATTTTTCAGTGTGGCCAATTTTTAATTTTTATTTTCTCGATTTATATCACAATTGTCCGTTTTTTCATTTCCTTTATTTTCTGTGTTTTTTTTCGATTTTACAATTTTTCAAATTTTCAGGCTTTGAATTTTCAGTTCGTCCATTTTTCAATTTTCCAATTTCTTTAATTTTCAATATTTCTATTTCATAATACGTATTTCTTTTTTTTTTTTGTTTTTCACTTTTTCGGTTCTTAAGATTTTTCAAGTTGTCATTTTGTAATTTTTCGTTTTTTATTTTTGATTTTTTAATTTCACAATTTCTCGACTTCCAAAATTTTCGATTTTTCGGTTTGTAACAGTTTTTCAATTTGGCAATTTTTCAATATTACAGTTTTTCATTTTTCGATTTTTCAGTTTCTCAATTTTTAATTTTTCCCTTTTCCAATTTTTTTGTTTCCGATTTTTACATCTCATTTTCCCGATTTTTTAATTTTCACTTTTTTCATTTCCTTTATTTTTTGTTGTTTCTTTCGATTTTATAATTTTTCGTTTATTCAATTCTTCAAATTTTCAAATTTGATTTTCACTTTTTACATTTTTCAAGTTTTTATTACACTTTTTCGTTTTTTTATTTTTGATTTTCCAATATTACAATTTCTCATTTTTCCATTTTTCACATTCTCGAAAAATTAAAAAAAAAATCCTTTTTTCAATTTTTCGTCCCCTTAATTTTTTAACTCACCGATTTTTTTTGCGTTTTCCTGATTTTTTATTTTTCATTTTCTCGATTTTATATCACAATTTTTTGTTTTTTCATTTCCTTAATTTTTGTTGTTTCTTTCGATTTTCCCATTTTTCGTTTATTTAATTTTCAAATTTTCAGGCCAATCGATTCCAATTCGTCGATTTTCCATTTTTTAAATTTTTCAGTTTGCAGTTTTTGGGTTTCCACCCTTTTTTACTTTTTGGATTTTCAATTTTTCGTTAAACTTTACGATTTTTCAAATTTTCGACAGTTTTATACTTCGATTTCTCATTTTTTTTTTCAACTTTTCGATGTTTTAATTTTTCTTTTTTAAAATTTTTTGATTTTTTTTATTTCTCGATTTATCGAATTCAGATGTTTGGATGTTTTGATTGTTCGATTTCTCAGTTTATCAGTTTTTCAATTTTTTTCTATTTCCTAATGTTTCATTTTTGGATTTCTCGGTTTTTCGATTTTCCAATTTTTCTATGTTTCGATTTTTCAGTTACCTATCTGATTTTTCAATTTTTTAAATTCTGGGGTTACGATTTGTCGATTTTTCAGTTTTTCGACTTTTAAGTTTTAGGTTTTCGAATTTTTCTTTTTTGATTCTTTGATGTTTGGATTTCTCCATTTTTCAATTTTGCGATATTTCAATTGTTCCATGTTTTAAATTTTAGATTTTTCGATTTCTGGATTTTTTGATTTTCCAGTTCTTCAGTATTCCTATTTTCCAATTTTTCGAATTTTGACGTTGTTAAATTTTCAGTTTTCCGATTTTTCAGTTAATATATATTTTTTTTATTTTCCCGTTTCTCGAATTGGCAGTTTCGATTTTTGGACTTTTCGGTTGGCTAATTTTTTAATTTCTCAATTTTAGATATTTGTTCAGTTTTGGGATTTTTCGACTTTTCGATTTTTAATTTTTTGGATTTTCAGTTTTTCGTTTAGATTTTTCAATTTTCGACTGTTTTATATATATTTCGAAAACGAAAAATTGGAAAATCGCAAAACTAAAAAATCGAAAAATTTAAAAACCGGAGATTTGAAAAATCGAAAAATCTGAAATTTTAAAAATTGAAAAACCAAAAAACCAAAAACCGAGATGTTGAAAAATTGAGACATCAAAAACACTGAAAAATATAAAATTTAAACCTGTGAAAAATTCAAAAATAGAAATATTTAGAGAAAACTGCAAAAATCGAAAAATCAAAAGATCCAAAAAAATTAGGGAAATATAAAAAAATCCAGAAAATCCAAAAATCTAACAATTCAAGAAATCCGAAAAAAAAAAATATATCCCCCCAAAAACTGAAAAATCCCAAAAACATGCAAAGTTAAAAAATCCAAAGTCTAGAAGTCCAAAAAATTCATAAAAACTAAAGAATTTAAAACATCAAAAAATCCAAAAAAATAAAGAATTTAGAAACAATTAAAAAATTAAAGAATTTAAAAAAATTCAAAAATCAAAGAATTTAAAAAATTCAAAAAATCCTAAAGATCCAAAAGAAGCAAGAGATCTAAGAGATCCATGAGATCCAAGATATCCAAATATTAAAAAAAAAATCACAGAATTAAAAAAAAACAAAAAAAGAAGCAAAAACAAGGAATTGAAAAAATCCAAAAAAAAATCTAACAATTCAAGAAATCCAAAAAAATCAAAAAAACCCACAAAACTAAAAAAAAATCCAAAAAGACCAAAAAATCAAAGAATAAAAAAAATGTCAAAGAATTTAAAAAATCGTGACAATTCAAGAAATTCGAAAAAATCAAAATATGTACCTACAAACCCCCAAAAAACCGAAAAATTAAAAAAATTCATAAAAACTATTAAAAAAAAAAGAAATCAAAAGTCAAAGAATTTAAAAAATCCAGAATCGAAAATATCCAAAAAATCAAGGAATTAAAAAAAATACAAAAAGTCCAAAAATCCAAACAATCCAAAACATCAAAAAAATGCAAAAAGTTAAAAAAAAATAAAAAAAAAATCAAAGAATTTAAAACATACAGAAAAATGTGAAAAATCAAAAAAACCAAAAATATCAAATAATCCAAAAATCATGCAAAATTTAAAAAATCCAAAGTCTAAAAAGTCCAAAAAATCCATAAAAACCAAAGAATTTAAAAAATCAAAAAATCCAAAAAAATTGAAGAATTAAAAAAAAATCCAAAATATTTAAGAATTTAAAAAAATCCAAAAAATTAAATAATTTGAAAAATTCAAAAAATCCCAAAGATCCAAAAGAAGCAAGAGATCCAAAAGATCTCAAAAAAATAACAAATCGAAAAGTTGAACAATCGAATATCTAACAAATCGAAAAATTGAAGAATTGAAAAATCGAAATGCTGTAAAGTCAAAAAATCGATTAATCTAGAGAAAAATTGAAAAATTGATATATCGAAAAACAGAAAAATTCCCAAAATTGAAATGTTGAAAATTGAGAAATCGAAAACTGAAATTTCCAGAATTCTGAAAATCGAAAAGTCGAAAAATTCTTAAAATTAAAAAATCGAAATGTCAAGGAACTGAAACATCAAAAAACCGTAAAATAGAAAATCAAAAAATTATAAAAAACAAATGTTGAAGGCAGGGAAAATTGAAACATCGAGATATCGAAACACCAAAAAATCGAAAAACTGAACAATTTGAAAACATAAAACTGAAAAATCGAAAAACCGGAAATCGAAATCGAAAAATTTTACATTAAAAGAATCGATAAATCGAAAAATGAAAAATTGAACAATAAAAAAATCAAGATATCGAAATCCCGTTAAATCGAGAGAACGAAAAATTTAAAAATTGCAAAACTAAAAAATAGAAAAATTTAGTAACCGGAAATTTGAAAATTCGAAAAATCTTGAATTTTAAATATTAAAAAATTGAAAAACGAAAAAACAAAAACCGAGACGTTGAGAAATCGAAACATCAAAAAAACTGAAAAATATAAAATTTAAACATGTGAAAAATTCAAAAATAGAAATATTTAGGAACTGAAAACTGCAAAAATTGAGAGATAGAAAAATTTTAAATCTAAAAAATCGAAAAATTAAAACATCGAAAAATGGAACAAAAAGTGAGGAATCGAAAAATTGAGAAATAAAAAAAAATAAGAAATTGAAAAGTTGAACAATCGAAAATCTAAAAATTTAAAATTTGACGCAATGTTGAAAAGTCAAAAAAATCGATCAATCGAGAAGAAAACTGAAAAATTAAAATATCGAAAAACTGAAAAATTCATAAATCGAAAAATTCCCAAAATTGAAATGTTGAAAACTGAGAAATCGAAAACTTGAAATTTCCAGAAATCTGAAAATCGAAAAGTCGACAAATTTTAAAAATCGAAAAATCGAGGTGTCAAGAAACCGAAACATCAAAAAATCGTAAAAAAGAAAATCGAAAAATGTAAATTTAAAAAATCAAAAAATCAGAAATTTTAAAATTGGAAAAATTGAAAGACCGAAAAATCAAAAACCGAAGCGGTGAAAAATCGAAAGATCAAGAAATCGAAACACTAAAAAACTAAAATGTCAAAAATAGAAATATCGGGGAACTGAAAAGTGGAAAAATCGAGAATTCGAAACACTGAAAAATCGAAAAATCGGGAAACTTGAAATCAAAAATCGATTAATCCAGAAATCGAAAAATTAAAAATTTAGAAACGTCAAAAACTGAAAATTCTAAAAATTGGGAAATCAAAAAATGAAAAATCGAAAGATTAAAAACACTAGGGAAATAAAAACTGAAACGTGGAAACAATGAGAAACCTAAAAATCTAAAATTTAAAAAATGTAAAAATTAAAATATCGAAATATCTGAATTTTTCGAGTTTTCAGTTCCGATTTTTGATTTTCCAATTTTTTAAATTTGAAGAGTTATTTATGCTCAACTGTTGTGACAATTCCGAGTGATACCACCTTAAGTGTCGCGGTAAGCTCGCCTTAACATTACTAACACATTGACACAATCATTACCTCTGCCTGCATGATTTCGTCGAGCTGTTTCAAAACTGAGCCCCCTTTTTGGGGCGCACCACCACTGAGAGTCCCCGCGGGATCCACCACATCCCCATCCAAAGTGACACATTTTCGCCTAATCCGGTCATGGAAAGCCACCTGTCGTGCTATACTTATATCCTTACAAACGAAAACGTTGCCGAAAATGAACTCCATAATGACTTGCAGTCGTTTGTCGTAGCTTAGATGAGAAATCGCGTGTTGGACATTGTTTTCACCAACCTAACAAAACAAGAGTTGGTAACACTGTGACAGGACTCAACGAACTTACCAGTTCCTGTGCCGCTCGCACGATGTCGTTGTTCATTCTATTCGCTTGAAGCTTATTGAGTGGCATGAAAGTCGTCCTTTGTCGCAACTCACCCCTCTGCAGAAGTTTTTTACCCGTGACGTCAGTGTCGATTACGACATTGTAGAGCTACAAGTGACGTCACTAATAACGCCATCTTTCGTCGATTTTCCAATACTCACCCTGCCCCCGGCTGCCGTCTCAATCGCAACATTCGCCTCTTCATTCTTGACCTTGATCAACCGACAAACCACCCCCAGGACGCTCCCTCTGTTGAAGTTAGCCTCAGGGTCTTTGTACCTGAACTGAGTGTATGGCTTATGCGCCTCGAAATTCTCGACGCGGTCCCTGAGCCTCCGCACGTCTTGTACTAGCCCCCTTCTACGACTTTGCAGCTCGTTTATTCGTTCCTCGTCGAAGTTCAGCTTCTTCAGCGCCGTTTCCAAGTTCTTGATTTCCTGGACCGTCGTATCGTGAGCCCTCTGATCGTTGGCGGTTTCGTTGGCGTTCGAAACGCGCTTTTTCTGCTTTTCTTGGAGCTGGTCCTTGCAGAATTTCTGTCTCATGTTGGCTTGTTTCATCTCGGTGTTGATTTTGGCGGCTTCCTGGCGGGCGTTCATCAGTTGCTCGAGCAACGTTTCGGCTTCGCCTTCATCATTGATCTCCATGCCGGCGCTGAGGGCTTCAAAGCGTTTTTGCGAGGCGAGGAAGGCTTGGGTGTCTTTTTCGTCGGCTTGTTTCAACTGGAGGAAGTGGGCTTGGACTTTGGCGAGCTCTGACTCTACAGATTTGAGGGCTTTTTCGTCGTCAGCGAGGTTCTAGAAACGGATCATTAAAAGAGGGTACAATCGCACGCAAATGTTTTGAGCCGATGGGCGGATCGTTTTTGCCTGCCCTCACCGAAGAAGGCGGTCCAAATCCTTCAAGGGCAGAATTTGTAGGTAGGCTCAAACTACAACGAAATTTACATTTGGTAAGAAATATTTATGGCTCACACTAGTTCTCTCGAATTTGTCGGAGAAGATTTAGCAGGTAGTTGTTCCCATAAAATAATGGTCACTTTCGTTGAGTAACGATTGTATACAGTAACATAGTCCTACACATGTAGATTATGACTCCGTGTTGAGTTTTTATCCGAAACGTCCAGATTTTTTGAAAAAAAATCAAAATTATAAAACAATATTTTGCAATTTAATTTTGAACTTGCAAAATCGAATAATTTGAAATCTTGCAGATGTTTTAAAGTCATGATAAACATGATAAATTTTTAATTAAAATATATTTGCTTATCCCCTCTAAAAAATTTATGACGTCACCTCAAAATTTTGCAGAATAAATCCTATCTTAAATGTATAAAATATGATGAGTTTTATACTTGTGATTTATCATTGCGTTAATATTTTTTAGATTTGGTTATACAGGGTGTCTCAAAAAAGTTAATGACTGAGTCAATTCATTTTATTGAAGAAATCAAGAATAGCAAAACTGAATACTTTGAAATATTGTAGATGTTTTGAAGTTTTTGCAAGCATGGTAACTTTTTCGAAAATTTGATTAATCAAATATGCGCAAAATCAAAAATCGGAAAAACTGAAATTCACTAATGCAAAAAACAGAAAATCGAAAAATACAAATCGTAAAAATCGAAAATCGAAAAATGGCTAATCAAAAAATCGAAAATTCAATGAATCAAATACCTAGGTCGATCGAAAAGCGGAAATTCACAAACTTCAAAAATCGAAAAATCGAAAATTGAAATAATCAAAATATATAAAGTAGAAAAAAATTGCAAAGCCTAAAAACTGAAACGAACAGAAAAATCGAAAAAGCAAAAAATTGGAAAAACAAAAATTCGAAAAATCGAAAATCGAAAAAGTGGAAAATCGAAAATCTGAATAAAGAAACTTGGAAATTCTGAAAATTGGAAAATCGAAAACCAAAAAATCGGGAAGAAACAAAATTGAAGTCCAACAGTTGAGAATGGAAAAATTGAAAAACCGAAAATTCTAAAAATCGACAATGGACAAATTGAAAATCGCAAAATTTAGATTGAAAAATTGAACATAGAAAAACCGATGAATTGAAAAATCGAAAATTCGACTACTCAAATTTTCTAAAAATAGAAAGTCTGAAAACTGAAAATCGAAAATTCTGAAAAGCGGAAAATAGAATATCGAAAAATTTAAAAGAAAGAAAATTGAAGTGTAAAAACCGAAGAATGGAAAAATTAAAAATCAAAAATTCTAAAAATCAAAACGGAAAAATTCAAAGATTTAAAAAGAAAATCGAAAAATTAAAAATCTGAAAATTAAAACTCGAAAATTTGGAAAATCGAAAAGTAAAAAATTGAGGTCTAAAAGCTGAAAAATAGAAAACTGAACAATCGAAAATTGGAAAATCAAATATCGAAAAATCGAAAAGCCGAAAAATCGAAAATTTGATAAATCAGATGCGAAAAACAGAAAATCTGAAAATACAAAACTGGAAAAATCGAAAATCGAAAATTCAATGAATCTAATACGTAGATCGATCGAAAAACTGGAAATTTACAAATCTGAAAAATCGAAAATTTGCAAGATTGAAAAACCGAGAATTGAAAAATCAAAAAACCGAAAAATGGAAAAATCAAAAATCGAAAAATAGGAAAACCGAAAATTCGAAAATTCATAATATTGAAAACTCTAAAAGTCGACAATTCAAAAATCAAAAAATTGGAACGTAAAATAATCGAAAAATCGAAAAGTAAACAAATTGCAAAACCTAAAAACTGACGAACAGAAAAATCGAAAAATCGTAAAATCAAAAAGTGGAAAATCGAAAACTGAAAATTGAAAAATCGAAGATTGGAAAACTGAAAAATCGAAAAATTAAAAAATCGGAAATCGAAAAATGAAAAAAAAAAACGAAAATTCAAAAATCGAATAATCCGAAACTAAACTAATAGAAAAGTGGAAAAGTAAAAATTACAAAGTCTCAAAACTGACTCAAAAATCGGAAAATGGAAAAACCGAAAAATCGAAAATTCGATGAAACAAATACTCGAAAAAGCGAAAAGTAAAAAAATTGCAAGGCCTAAAAATTGAAAAATCAAAAAATCGGAAAAATGAAAATCGAAAAAAAGACGATCGATAAAAAATAAAAAAATCGAAAAGTGGAAAATCGGAAAGTAACAAAATTGAAATCTAAAAGCTGAAGCAAAATTAAAAATTGAAAATTTGAAAAATGGAAAATCGAAAACTCGAATATCGAGATTTTGAAAAATCGTAAAAATAGTAATCGAAAAATCGAAATGCTCAAAAATCGAAAATTCGATTACTCAATATTTTAAAAATCGAAAAAACGGATACAAATCCACAAATCTGAAAAATCGAAAATCGAAATATGAAAAATTAAAAACTGAAAAATTGAAAAATCCCAAATCGAAAAATGGAAAAACCGAAAATTCAAAAATCAAACTGTCGGAAAGTAAAATAATCGAAAAATGGAAAAATAAAACAAATTGCAGAACCATAAAAACTGAAACAAACAGAAAAATAGAAAAACCACAAAAGCGGAAAAACGAGAATCGAAAAATCGTAAAATCAGAAAATGGAAAATCGAATAATCGAAAGTTGAAAAATCGAAGGTCGAAAAATAAAACAACCGAAAAATCGAAAAATTTAATGATTAATGGAAAATCGAAAAATCGAGAATAGAAGAATTAAAAAACAGGAAAATTGAAAAATCGGAAATCGAAAAATTAAAAACGTAAAATCGAGAATTCAAAAATCAAAAAAATCGGAAAGTAAAATATAATCGAAAAATGCAAAAAAATTGCAAAGTCTAAACACTGACGAACAGAAAAATCAAAAAATCTAAAAATGGAAAAATCAAAAATCGAAAAATAGGAAAACCGAAAATTCGAAAATTCATAATATTGAAAACTCTAAAAGTCGACAATTCAAAAATCAAAAAATTGGAATGTAAAATAATCGAAAAATCGAAAAGTAAACAAATTGCAAAGCCTAAAAACTGACGAACAGAAAAATCGAAAAATCGTAAAATCAAAAAGTGGAAAATCGAAAACTGAAAATTGAAAAATCGAAGATTGGAAAACCGAAAAATCGAAAATCGGAATATCTAGAATCGACAAATTAAAAAACCGAAAAATCGAAAAATTAAAAAATCGGAAATCGAAAAATGAAAAAAAACGAAAATTCAAAAATCGAATAATCCGAAACTAAAATAACAGAAAAGTGGAAAAGTAAAAATTGCAAAGTCTCAAAACTGACTCAAAAATCGGAAAATGGAAAAACCGAAAAATCGAAAATTCGATGAAACAAATACTCGAAAAAGCGAAAAGTAAAAAAATTGCAAGGCCTAAAAATTGAAAAATCAAAAAATCGGAAAAATGAAAATCGAAAAAAAGACGATCGATAAAAAATAAAAAAATCGAAAAGTGGAAAATCGGAAAGTAACAAAATTGAAATCTAAAAGCTGAAGCAAAATTAAAAATTGAAAATTTGAAAAATGGAAAATCGAAAACTCGAATATCGAGATTTTGAAAAATCGTAAAAATGGTAATCGAAAAATCGAAATGCTCAAAAATCGAAAATTCGATTAATCAATATTTTAAAAATCGAAAAAACGGACACAAATCCACAAATCTGAAAAATCGAAAATCGAAATGTGAAAAATTAAAAACCCGAAAAATTGAAAAATCCCAAATCGAAAAATGGAAAAACCGAAAATTCAAAAATCAAACTCTCGGGAAGTAAAATAATCGAAAAATGGAAAAATAAAACAAATTGCAGAACCATAAAAACTGAAACAAACAGAAAAATCGAAAAACCACAAAAGCGGAAAAACGAGAATCGAAAAATCGCAAATCGAAAAATCGTAAAATCAGAAAATGGAGAATCGAATAATCGAAAGTTGAAAAATCGAAGGTCGAAAAATACAAATCGTAAAAATCGAAAATCTAAAAATGGCTAATCAAAAAATCGAAAATTCAATGAATCAAATACCTAGGTCGATCGAAAAGTGGAAATTCACAAACCTCAAAAATCGAAAAATCGAAAATTGAAAAACGGGAAAACCAAAAAATCGAAAAGTCAAAAATTTGTAATATTGAAAATTAAAAAAAAATCAAAAACAAAAATAAAAAAATCGGAAATTAAAATAATCAAAATATATAAAGTAGAAAAAATTGCAAAGCCTAAAAACTGAAACGAACAGAAAAATCGAAAAAGCAAAAAATTGGAAAAACAAAAATTCGAAAAATCGAAAATCGAAAAAGTGGAAAATCGAAAATCTGAATAAAGAAACTTGGAAATTCTGAAAATTGGAAAATCGAAAACTAAAAAATCGGGAAGAAACAAAATTGAAGTCTAACAGTTGAGAATGGAAAAATTGAAAAACCGAAAATTCTAAAAATCGACAATGGACAAATTGAAAATCGCAAAATTTAGATTGAAAAATTGAACATAGAAAAATCGATGAATTGAAAAATCGAAAAATCGACTACTCAAATTTTCTAAAAATCGAAAGTCTGAAAACTGAAAATCGAAAATTCTGAAAAGCGGAAAATAGAATATCGAAAAATTTAAAAGAAAGAAAATTGAAGTGTAAAAACCGAAGAATGGAAATATTAAAAATCAAAAATTCTAAAAATCAAAACGGAAAAATTCAAAGATTTAAAAAGAAAATCGAAAAATTAAAAATCTGAAAACTGAAACTCGAAAATTTGGAAAATCGAAAAGTAAAAAAATTGAGGTCTAAAAGCTGAAAAATAGAAAACTGAACAATCGAAAATCAAGAATCTAAAAATGGAAAAACCGAAAATCGAAAATTCAATGAATCTAATACGTAGATCGATCGAAAAACTGGAAATTCACAAATCTGAAAAATCGAAAATTTGCAAGATTGGAAAACCGAGAATTGAAAAATCAAAAAACCGAAAAATGGAAAAATCAAAAATCGAAAAATAGGAAAACCGAAAATTCGAAAATTCATAATATTGAAAACTCTAATAGTCGACAATTCAAAAATCAAAAAATTGGAACGTAAAATAATCGAAAAATCGAAAAGTAAACAAATTGCAAAGCCTAAAAACTGACGAACAGAAAAATCGAAAAATCGTAAAATCAAAAAGTGGAAAATCGAAAACTGAAAATTGAAAAATCGAAGATTGGAAAACCGAAAATTCGATGAAACAAATACTCGAAAAAGCGAAAAGTAAAAAAATTGCAAGGCCTAAAAATTGAAAAATCAAAAAATCGGAAAAATGAAAATCGAAAAAAAGACCATCGATAAAAAATAAAAAAATCGAAAAGTGGAAAATCGGAAAGTAACAAAATTGAAATCTAAAAGCTGAAGCAAAATTAAAAATTGAAAATTTGAAAAATGGAAAATCGAAAACTCGAATATCGAGATTTTGAAAAATCGTAAAAATGATAATCGAAAAATCGAAATGCTCAAAAATCGAAAATTCGATTAATCAATATTTTAAAAATCGAAAAAACGGACACAAATCCACAAATCTGAAAAATCGAAAATCGAAATATGAAAAATTAAAAAACCGAAAGATTGAAAAATCCCAAATCGAAAAATGGAAAAACCGAAAATTCAAAATTCAAACTGTCGGAAAGTAAAATAATCGAAAAATGGAAAAATAAAACAAATTGTTGAACCATAAAAACTGAAACAAATAGAAAAATCGTAAAATCAGAAAATGGAAAATCGAATAATCGAAAGTTGAAAAATCGAAGGTCGAAAAATAAAACAACCAAAAAATCGAAAAATTTAATGATTAATGGAAAATCGAAAAATCGAGAATAGAAGAATTAAAAAACAGGAAAATTGAAAAATCGGAAATCGAAAAATTAAAAACGTAAAATCGAGAATTCAAAAATCAAAAAATTGGAATGTAAAATAATCGAAAAATCGAAAAGTAAACAAATTGCAAAGCCTAAAAACTGACGAACAGAAAAATCGAAAAATCGTAAAATCAAAAAGTGGAAAATCGAAAAGTGAAAATTGAAAAATCGAAGATTGGAAAACCGAAAAATCGAAAATCGGAATATCTAGAATCGACAAATTAAAAAACCGAAAAATCGAAAAATTAAAAAATCGGAAATCGAAAAATGAAAAAAAAACGAAAATTCAAAAATCGAATAATCCGAAACTAAAATAATAGAAAAGTGGAAAAGTAAAAATTGCAAAGTCTCAAAACTGACTCAAAAATCGGAAAATGGAAAAACCGAAAAATCGAAAATTCGATGAAACAAATACTCGAAAAAGCGAAAAGTAAAAAAATTGCAAGGCCTAAAAATTGAAAAATCAAAAAATCGGAAAAATGAAAATCGAAAAAAAGCCGATCGATAAAAAATAAAAAAATCGAAAAGTGGAAAATCGGAAAGTAACAAAATTGATATCTAAAAGCTGAAGCAAAATTAAAAATTGAAAATTTGAAAAATGGAAAATCGAAAACTCGAATATCGAGATTTTGAAAAATCGTAAAAATGATAATCAAAAAATCGAAATGCTCAAAAATCGAAAATTCGATTAATCAATATTTTAAAAATCGAAAAAACGGACACAAATCCACAAATCTGAAAAATCGAAAATCGAAATATGAAAAATTAAAAAACCGAAAGATTGAAAAATCCCAAATCGAAAAATGGAAAAACCGAAAATTCAAAAATCAAACTGTCGGAAATAAAATAATCGAAAAATGGAAAAATAAAACAAATTGCAGAACCATAAAAACTGAAACAAACAGAAAAATCGAAAAACCACAAAAGCGGAAAAACGAGAATCGAAAAATCGCAAATCGAAAAATCGTAAAATCAGAAAATGGAAAATCGAATAATCGAAAGTTGAAAAATCGAAGGTCGAAAAATAAAACAACCGAAAAATCGAAAAATTTAATGATTAATGGAAAATCGAAAAATCGAGAATAGAAGAATTAAAAAACAGGAAAATTGAAAAATCGGAAATCGAAAAATTAAAAAAGTCTAAACACTGACGAACAGAAAAATCAAAAAATCTAAAAATGGAAAGACGAAAAATCGAAAAATGAAAGAATGGCAATTCAAAAAATCGAAACATCAAAAAATCAAAAAACGAAAAATTAAAAAATCGAAAAACGAAAAAACTGAAAACTCGAAAATTCAAAATACCGCAAATTTGAAAAATGAGAAAATTGGAAAGTAATAAAATCGAAAAGTTAATAGAAAAATGGAAACTGAAAAATCTAATTCGATGAAACGGTTGGTCGAAAAAACGAAAAATCGAAAATCGAAGTGACCTTTTTCTGAGACAGGCTGTATAAGTAAATCTAAAAAATATTACTGCAATGATAAATCGCAGGTATAGACTCATCATATCAAATTTTGCGATGACGTCATGCATTTTTTGGCGAAGATAAGCAAATACATTTTGATCGTGGCTTTGAAAGTATTCTTCGATTTTCGTTCCATTTCAAAATTTACTCTTTGTATATTTCAGGTTCCAACTAATTGACAAGATTTCAAAGTATTCAGTTTTGCAATTCTTCAATAAAATAAATTTGCTCAGTCATTATTTTTTTTGAGTCACCCTGTATGTATAAACAAATCCAAAAAATATAAATGGAATGATAAATCACAAGTATAGACTCATCATATTCTGAACATTTTAGATATGGTATTTATAAAATTAAAACTAATTCAGAGTAAGAATTTGGTCAACACGTAAATTTCGTTGTAGTTTGAGCCTACCTACAAATTCTGCCCTTGGACGATTTGGACCGCCTCCTTCCGTGACGACCGGCAAAAATGATCCGCCCATAGGCTCAAAACATTTGCGTGCGATTGTACAACAAGGGCTATTTTACCTTCTCAAGCTGCGTTTTTTTCTTTTTTTCAGTGTTGATTTCGTCGGTTATGGATTTTATGCTAGCGTTCACTTTCGCCTGGGATTTTTCAGCTGCTTTTAGCTCAGTTTCCGCTTTTTGCAAATTTTCATTACCTTCCTATAATTTTTGTTTAGTAGACACAATTGAATTGAAACTGTGTCTATTGCAGCTACTTACAGCGTCCGCCTTTCTGGTTAACTCCTCAACCAACTCATCAGTTTGTACAAGCTCGTTTTTATGGTTATTCATTTCCGTTTCAAGTTGTTTCATGACGTCTTCCTCCTCATCTACAGCTTCTTTAGCCTGAATGTACCTGCGTTTAGACGCAAAATATTCCCAAGCTTGATACAACTGCAACATGTGCTCTAATTCTCGTTCCACATTTTTATACTCCATATATTTGGCTCTTTCAGTCCTCAACTTTTCCAGCCTTGGTGTCAACTCCTCATTAATCACCTACAACACCCCAAACTTACCAAAAAAAACACAAAAAAATCAATAAATACCGATTTCAACTCCTTCAATTTCGCGTCTTTTTTCTCAATAGTTTTCTGCGCTGTTTCTTTTTTTACTTCGTACATTTTCGTGCCCGCGGCTTCCTCAATCATAGCTAAAATCTACCCAAAACTAAACACACCCCGACTAAACCACAAACTTACATCATAGGGCTTCATATTCAACACTTTGGTGATCTTCCCTTGCATGATCAAAAAATGGGGGTTATTCACGTTCAGCTGAACCGAGCAAAACAAATCTTGGATTTTTTTGTTCTGCACGGTTGACCCGTTTATCATGTACTTGTTCTTTCCCCCTAGAACGATCTGGCGCGTGATCGTGATTTCCGACACATTTTCAAACCCCGGAGGACACTGATCGGGGTTGCTATTGTCGAAGGTGATGGACACCGTGGCTTTGTTTATCCCGCACTGGCCGCTCTTGTAGATCAAATCTTGCAAATTTCCAACACGGACCTACAATCGTTTGAAAATCAACTACTGAAAATTTGGGGTTAGGGTTGTTTACATGGCTTAAATTCGAAATTCCTAGGACGAAACATATCGAATCGAGGATGTTCGACTTCCCGCTACCGTTTAAGCCCGTGATTGCGTTAAATTGTTTGTCGAAACCTGTGATTTCGGTGCGGTGGCCGTAGGACTTGAAACCCTCGAGCACGACGGACTTTATGTACATCGCGACTTCTTCAGATTTGCTTAAACACGCGTTATAATCATGAGTTTAACCAAGTTTAAGCGGTTTTTTTCAGTTATTCAATAATTGTTTGAAAACACGACTGTGAGGTTATGCGCAGAACGAAACAAACCAGAGGCGGGGGTTATAATACGCGACTTCTAAACTAAACCACAGTAATATTACGCGCTTTCAAAAAAACATTCTCGACTTCAGAGATTAAAGACAATCGAAATTCGGTAATCACGCTCTTGCAACTATTACTATTATTAATCAGGTTTGGCGGAAAAAAATTATTTTGGGTGTGGGTGCACGCCACTGCACGGATGTTCTCCCCTTCGCGCGAACAATGGACTCGACCGAAACTAATTGACAGATTCACAACGTAGGTCACGTGATCCGTTCATTTTAAAAAAACATAACCTCAAAACATCGATGAAATTGAAACAACCCGGATGAAAACCACTTGAAACCTGAAAGTGTAACAGTGTAACTCGTAACATGTCTCATAAAGTATTTATTTTGTTTTTTTAGGTTAAAATCGGCGCGAAAATGCCCCGAAAGTCTGCCCGAGCCGGCCTCAGCCAAGCGTCTACCTCAAGCCAAAGTCACTCGGAATCCAGAATCGAGGAACACTTGGCGTCTTCGCAAGCCAGTCTTGACGATCAAGTGAATAACGTGGTTCGGTATATCGTGAACAACGCTGGACAAAATTTGTACTTCCGTAGAGCTGATATTCAAAAGTGTTGTGGGGCTAAAGTGGGGCAACAATTTCAGCAAGTGCTCGAGAAAGCCACAGCGATCCTGAAAAATGTATGTGTCGAACGTTTCTTGCCACAATAATAAAGTACAATTGTAGGTGTACGGGTACAACATTTTGGCCTGTGATCAGACACCGAGTTCCGGTAAAGCGTACATCGTCAGTAACGCGCTTCCATACAGAAATTACAAACCCGACGCCGACGACATTCAAGCCAAAGAAATCCAGAAGATCGTCCTTTTGTTGATTTTGACCCATATTTACATGTCGGATGGTCCAGTTCCTGATGGTACTCGCCAAATTGCACGAAACCCCTCACTATGTTTAGTGTTTCAGCGTCCGTGTATTCGTTTTTGAAAAGCTTTGGAATTGACGTCAACATTCGGCACCCACTATTTGGACTAATCAAAGACTACATCACTAATGTTCTCATTAAGCAGAAATTCCTATCACTGGAAACTGATCCCATCACTAAAAAAAGTTTGTTCTCGTGGGGGATCCGCGCCGAGACGGAAATCAACAAACACGAACTCCTCAAATTCGTGTGCAAAGTAAGTTCGTTTTTTGAAGAGTGCGCCAGACTTACCAACCTTTCAGGTGTGCAAAAACCGACAACCCAAGGCTTGGGGGAACCAGTACAAGGCAGCTTGTAGCCAAGAATTCAAAAATGAGAGGCTTGTTGACCAAAACGCGATGGATGTTGATGAGGAGTAGTTAATTCTAGTGATTTTTGCGTTTTTATTGTTGTACATTGTGATTTTTTAAATATATTTCTATTAACAAGTAGGCTGGGGTGTCATTTGAGTTTTGTCAGAACTGGTGGCCATATTGTTGTATTGGGGGTTAAATCGTAATAATGAATTTAAATCAGTCTTTGATCGGGAAAAAGAAAGGCAGGCATGGATTTGGATTCACAGGTGAGTTGAGAATGCGTTTTGGGGTTTTGTAAGTGAGGTTGTAGTGGGGGCTGGAAAGCAAGTCATGGGGCCTCCAACGAGGCCCCCTTTGAAGACTAAATCAGGGCTAAAGTCGACTTCTTCCGTTTCTTCGACGACGAATTGGGGGAGAAGCTGTCACAGGTGAGCCCCGCGCCATTTTTCGTAAATTTAGTTTTTGGATTTTAGTGTTGTGAATTCGTCGACTTTGCGCTCCGGAAGCACCACAGTTTCGTCGGAAACTGAATCTAGGGTGATTTTAGGTGAGTTTATATCGTCCTAGGAGCCAAAAAAAAAACAACAAAAAGTACAGTTAACTTGTGTGTTAAATGGCTCCAGGTGTATTATTGGTTGCCTATATATCAACATTTCTGGAAAGTTTTTATATTAAGTTGGATTTTAAACTTGCTATTGACGTTGAAGTTCCCGCTGACGTTGCTTTTAGAGCTGAAAATTGTCATTTATGAACTCCGTTGCCAAGTTGACTTTGACGCTCGACTTTTGCCATTTTAGGCATGTTTTAAGTTGCTTGTTTTCGAAATAACTCTGCACGTATTAAGAAAACAAGGCAAAATGTAGCCCCGCCCACCCACCCTATCTCGATTGTGATGAATTTTTTTATTCACCGTGAGCCAAGAGGGCGGAGCTTAACTGCAAAATCCTTACTTTTCTACGAGAAATTAAAAACATGTTTTTGAGTACTATGCATATTAAGAAAAGATTAAAGCCAAAGATTAGGCCCCACCCATACCCGCTCCGATCTCAATTCTCAATTGTGATGAATTTTTCATTCGTTGTCAGATCGAGGGGCAGGGCTTAATTGCAAGATCCATATTTGTCTTCAAGAATTTACCATTTTAAACATGTTTTAAATTTCCAAGAATAAAAAAATCATCACAATTGAGACAACAAGAAACTTAAAACATGTTTAAAATGGAAAATTTGTATAAGGAAATATCGATTTTGCAGTTATACTCCACCTCATAATTGCAAATCCATATTTCTTTATAAAAATGTACCATTTTCATCATGTTTTAAGTTTCTTGCTGTGAAAAAATGGCTATATATATTAAGAAATAAAATGCAAAATATAAGCCCCGCCCACCCACCCTATCGCAATTCTGATGATTTTTTTATTCGTCGTGGGCCGAGGGGCAGAGCCTAGCTGCAAAATCCATATTTCCTTACGAAAATTGACCATTTTTAACGTGTTTTAGATTTCTAAGAGTAAAAAAATTATCAGAATTGAGACGGGGCGGGTGGGCGGGGCTTATTTTTTTTTGCCTATTTTCTTACTATCCGTAGTCGTCTTTTCAGAACAAGAAACTTAAAACATGTTTAAAATGGTAAATTTGTATAAGGAAATATCGACTTTGCATTTAGGCTCCGCCCTATAATTGCAATTTCCTTATATAAATGTACCACTTTAATCATGTTTTAAGTTTCTTGTTGTGAAAAAATGGCTATGTATATTAAGAAATAAAAGGCAAAATATAAGCCCCGCCCACCCGCCCTATCTCAATTCTGACGATTTTTTAATTCGTCGTGAGCCAAGGTGGGCGGAGGTTATCTGCAAAATCCTTATTTCTCTGCGAGAAATTAAAAACATGTTTTTGAGTATCGTGTTTCAAAGAATACTATGTATATTAAGAAAACATTAAAGCCGAAGATTAAGCCTCACCCATACTTGCACGGATTTTAATTGTAATGAACTTTTCATTCGTTGGCATACCTAGAGGCGGAGCTTAATTGCAAAATTCATATTTCCTCAAAAATTTTGACCATTTTAAACGTGTTTTAATTTTCTAAGAATAAAAAAATCGTCACAATTGAGATGGGGTGAGTGGGCGGGGTTTATATTTTGGCTTGTTTCCTTAATACACATACCTAGTGTTTTTTGAACAACTCTGTACTCAAAAACATGTTTTTAATTTCTTGTAAAGAAATGAGTACTTTGCAGTTAAGCTTCGCCCCCTTGATTCACGGCGAATGAAAAAATCATCACAATTGAGACAGGGCGGGTGGGCGGGGCTTATTTTTTCACAAGAAGAAACTTAAAACATATTTAAAATGGAAAATTTGTATAAGGAAATATGTATCGACTTTGCAATTTGGTCCCGCCCCATAATTGCAATATCCATATTTCCTTGCAAAAATGTACCATTTTCATCATTTTTTAAGTTTCTTGTTGTGAAAAAATGGCTAAGCATATTAAGAAAAACAAAGGCAAAATATAAGCCCCACCCACCCACCCTATCTCAGTTCTAATGATTTTTTTATTCGTCGTGGGCCGAGGGGCGGAGCCTAATTGCAAAATCCATATTTCCTTACAAAAATTCACCATTTTCAACGTGTTTTAGGTTTCTAAGAATAAAAAAATTATCACAATTGGGATGGGGTGGGTGGGCGGGGTTTATATTTTGCCTTTTTTATCTTAATATACATAGTATTCTTTGAAAACACGATACTCAGAAACATGATTTTAATTTTTTGTAAAGAAATAAGTATTTTGCAGTTAAGTTCCGCCCACTCGGTTCATGGCAAATAAAAAAAATCATCACAATTGAGACAGAGCGGGTGGGCGGGGCTTATTTTTTTGCCTTTTTTCTTACTATCCGTAGTCGTCTTTTGAGAATAAGAAACTTAAAACATGTATAAAATGGAAAATTTGTATTAGGAAATATTGATTTTGTTTGCAGTTATACTCCACCTCATAATTGCATAATCCATATTTCCTTCCAAAATATTCCATTTTAACAATGTTTTAAGTTTCTTCTGAAAAGATGGCTATGTAATTAAAAACAAAAAGCAAAATGTAAGCCCCGCCCACCCACCCTATCTCAATTTTTGATAATTTTTGTATTCGTCGTGGACCGAGGGGCGGAGCCTAATTGCAAAATCCTTATTTCCTTACAAAAATTGACCATTTTAAACGTGTTTTAGGTTTCTAAGAATTAAAAAAATTATACTTTGGCTTTTTTTTCTTAATACACATAGTATTCTTTGAACAACACGAAAACATGTCTTTAATTTCTTGTAAAGAAATAAGTATTTTGCAGTTAAGTTCCGCCCATTTGGTTCACGGCGAATAAAAAAATCATCACAATTGAGATGGGGTGGGTGGGCGGGGTTTATATTTCGCCTTCTTTTTCTTAATATACATAATATTCTTTGAACGACACGATACTCAAAAATATGTTTTTAATTTCTTGTAAAAAAATAAGTACTTTGCAGTTAAGTTTGGTTAACAGCGAATAAAAAAAATCATCACAATTGAGATAGGGCGGGGGACGGGCTTACATTTTGCCCTTTTGTTTTAATATGTGTAGACTTCTTTTTACAACATGAAACTTAAAACAAATAAAAAAAATCATCACAATTGAGATGGGTTGGGTGGGCGGTGTTTATATTTTGCCTTTATTTTCTTAATATACATAGTATTCTTTGAACAACACGATAATCAAGAACATATTTTAATTTTTTATAAAGAAATAAGTATTGTGCAGTAGTTAAGCTCCGCCTCCTTGGTTCACAGCGAATAAAAAAAATCATCAAAATGGAGATCGGGCGGGTGGGCGGGCTTACATTTTGCCTTTTTGTTTTAATATATGTAGACTTCTTTTCACAACATGAAAGAAGAAGAAAAAAAAAGGCAAAATATAAGCTTAATCATAGGCTCCTTTTTTTTGAAAAATCTCCGGGCAACCTAGGGCGATTTTTGAAGATGCGAACGAATCTCGAGACCCTCTGGGGTGATTTTTGAAGATGCAAAAGAATCTCGTTACTCCCTAGTGTGTTTGTTGAAGATGTAAAAAAATCTGCGCCCCCTAGCATAATTTTTGAAGATGCGAAAGAATCTCGACGCCCCTCTAGGGTGATTTTTAAAGATGCGAAAGTATCTCTGATCCCCCTACGGTGATTTTTGAAGATGCGAAAAAAAATTTCTGTGTCTCCTAGAGTGATTTTTGAAGATGCGAAAAAATCTCAGGCCCCCCCTAGGATGATTTTTGAAGATGCAAAAGTATCTCTTGGCTCAGGAGTGTGTTTCTTGAAGATGCGAAAAAACTCTGGGCCCCCAAGGGTGGTTTTTGAAGATGCGAAAAAATTTCTGGGCCCCTTAGAATAATTTTTGAAGATGCGGAAAGACCTCTGGGCCCCTAGGATAATTTTTGAAGATGCGAAAGACTCTTGGGGTCCTCTGGGGTGATTTTTGAAGACGCAAAAGAATTTATATATTGGCTGTTTTTCGTAATATACATAGTGTTCTTTGAACAACACTGTACTCAAAAACATGTTTTTAATTTCTTGTAAAGAAATAAGTTTTTTGCAGTTAACCTCCGCCCATTTGGTTCACGGCGAATAAAAAAAATCATCACAATTGGGACAGGGCGGGTGGGCGGGCTTACATTTTGCCTATTTGTTTTAATATGTGTAGACTTTTCTTGTAAAAATGTACCATTGTTTTGAGTTTTTTGTTGTGAAAAGATGGCTACGTATGTTAAGAAAAAAAGGCAAAATATAAACCCCGCCCACCGGCCCTATCTCAATTCTGATGATTTTTTTTATTCGTCGTGAGTCAAGGGGGGCGGAGCTTGGCTGCAAAATCCCTATTTCTCTACGAGAAATTAAAAACATGTTTTGAGTACCGCGTTTTTCGAAGAATACAATGTATATTAAGAAAAAATTAAAGCCAAAGATTAAGCTCCACCCATACCTGCCCTGATCTAAATAGTAATGAAGTTTTCATTCTTTGGCAGATCTAGGTGCGGAGCTTGATTGCAAAATCCATGTTTCCTCAAAAATTTTGACCAATCGAGATGGGGTGGGTGGGCGGGGTTAATATTTTTCTTCTTTGTCTTCGTATTCTTTGACCAACACCTCGACCTTTATAGCCTTGACGGAAGGCCGCGGCGACGCAAGATGCGAAGTCGGCTTAGCCTCAATCGACTTATCCCTCCCCACCCTCATTCTATGCCAAATTTCGGACTACCAAAGCTACATTAACACGTTGACGAAAATCAATATTTTGAACCCCACTGACGTAAGCACTAATCTTAAACTGGCACCACGACTCAGTACCATTTTTAGATAATCGTACCTACGACGTTTCTGGAAAGCAACAACCGCTTAGTAAACACAATTAGAAAAAAATTCACCAACATTAAAATCCTTGGAATACCGAGAAAGAGCTTCAACAAATCGACCGGAATGGACCGTATTTTACAATTTTGTCTGCCGTCGGTGAATACAATCTGCGTAGGCTTGCAGCACAAGTAAGTCACAACTTTTAGTAATAATAGTAATAATAGTAGTAATAATGTAGGTACTACGCTTTGGCAGCCGCCGCCGCCCTCACGTTCTACCTCCAAAGCAACTTAAACATCTACTACGCCAAAGAATCGCTCAATGTTTTGTACCAAGAGTCGGAAGGGTACGCCATCATAGGTAAATTTTGATTCCAAAAACAAAAAAAATAAATAAATAAAGTATTGTAAACGTTAGACGTGTCTACGGCGGACCGCCTCGAGCTGGTCTCAAGCACCAAACCCACCCAAGCCTCCCGCTACTCCACCCTCTTCGGCGTGCTCAACCACTGCGTGACCAAAGTAGGCTCCCGCTTGCTCCGCTCGACCATCCTCCAGCCCCCTTCCTCGCCCCCCATCATCGAAACCACCACCCGCTGCGTCACCGAGCTCATAAAGCACCCCGAGAAGCTCCTCTCCATCCAAGTCATCCTCCAAAAAGTCTCCAACATCGACCAGTTGCTCACTCTCACCTCCATGACCCTCGGAACCACCGACAACTGCTCAGTGCGCCAGCTAAACTACCTTTTGCTCCTAAACAGCCTGGTGGAGTTGATCGAGCCGCTCAAAGACATCGTCGCAGGTCTCCAGCAACCCTTCTTCAAAGAGCTGACGCAGACTTTGGCGAGCGACAACTTCGGCGTCATCACCGGGAAGGTCCGCAAGATGATCCACCCGGCGGCGTTCAGCGCGAAGGGCGAAAACGGGGTGACGCAGAGGTGCTTCGCCATCAAATCAAACATTAATGGCTTGTTGGATTTAGTAAGAAAGACGTATTCAGAGAGGTTGAACGACCTGTCCGAGTACGTCAGGCACCTGGGGAATAAGTATAACTTGTCGCTGGCGCTGGGGAATAATAACACGAAAGGGTACCACATCGTGCTGAAGCTGAACAACCAGCAGAAGCGGACGTTCAAGAAGTCGGATTTGCCCCCGGAGTTCGTCCAGGTGTACAGGCTTGCGGGGAGCTGCACGATGAAGACGGTCGAACTAATCAACTACTCGACAAGGTTGGACGATATTATGCTCGAGATTCTAAAAATAAGTAATTCGTGAGTGGGTGACTTTGCTCTTGGGGGTGGTTTTATACCAAGGTTTGTAGAATGATCTACGACTTGATCGTGGACTTGAAACAATACATGGGTTTTTTTTATAAGTTGTGTGAAGACGTGGCTCGGTTGGATATGCTCCAGAGTCTGTCTGAAGCCAGTCGGCGTCATAGTTACACCCGTCCGAAGTTTGGGGTTTTCACCGAAGTGACGAACTCGCGACATCCGATGCTGGAGTTGTTGCTCGGAGATCAACGAGTGGCTAATCCAATCGTACGACATCGCTCTTTTCCGTCTTAATAATTAATCTTAATTGATAATAATTTCAGTCAATAAGTCAAGATTTCAACGTACAAATAATAACCGGTCCCAATGGTTCTGGAAAAAGTGTCTATATAAGACAGATGATGTTGCTTCAGGTGATGGCACAAGTTGGGTGCTACGTCCCAGCGGACTCCGCTATTTTCCGACCCATGAATCGCATGTTTGCACGGATTTATCTAGAGGACGACATGGAATACGGCGCTTCGTCGTTCATCCTCGAAGTACACATTATATTTACCCGCGCTTGCTCGAAACTGACTTGCATATGTCGTAGATGAAAGAAGTAAAATATATGATGACTTTAGTTTCCGAGAACACGCTATTTATAATTGACGAGTTGTGTAGGTCGACGGCGGCAGACGAAGGGGCGGCGCTTGCAATGGCGATATGTGAGAAGTTTTGTGCTACGAAGGCCTTCTTCTACGTGACTACGCACTACACGTCGCTTGCTAATCTAACGAATATGTACCTTAATGTCAAAACGTGAGTGTGTTGTTGATTGTGGGGGTGGCTACTACGTTTGCGGTTCGTAGGTGGCATATGGAAACCGCCGCCACTGGGGAAACCCCTCAGGAGCTGAGTCTAAACTACAAATTTCGACTAATCCCAGGGGTTACTAATTTGAAGCAATATGGCGTCTACATAGTCAAGAAAATATGGCCGCTGGGGTTACTCGACGAGGTTTATCGGGTTCTGGGTACCTTCCAGAAACGATCTGTGGTAGGGTCAATCAATGACTGTGTCAAACTCTGTCATTTTTTTTTAGCAAACGGAGTACGTTGGGGTCAACGAAGCAATCAGACTTAAGTACAAGTTGGAGTCCGATTTGAGGAAACTCAAAAGTGTGGGAAAATTGACAGTCGCCACTATCAACAAAATGTTGAACGATTATCAAAACGAGCTACACAAAATGAACATCTTCGTAGATTTGTCACTACAACCCCAGGACCATGGTGACGACGAAAGAGACGCTTCTAGTTCAACATACGAAAACGTGTCAAAGTTTCTTCAGGAAGATAGTGACAATATCAACAAATTGATTCCTGAGGTGAACTTAGCGTGCTCTGAACGGGAAATATTTTTTGACGAGTCAGACGACGACGTTTCGAATTTCGAACCTGAACAACCTCAAGTCGCTAATTTATCCATCTGTGGAACGAACGTGGAAAATTTAACCCCAGCCGAGCTACAAGAAATCGAAAGTGCAAGCAAAAGCCTCCTGGAAGACGACGACGATGAAGACGATTTTGACTTTTCACAAGTTTGTTTTAACTTAGTTTTTATAGCAACGTTTATTGTTTTTTGCAGGCGAGTTCGTACCACTCTGCCACGATGAACCTCACCCCAGCCAACAAAATTGACCCTAACGAACAACAACACATTTTTCCCGTTGTTAAAGTTGTTGAAGGTCCGACTTGGTCACCAACGTCGTCTCAGGGTAGCCAATATATAAACCCCGAAAGAGACCAGGACTTGTCACAGTCCATCACTTACTCACCTCTATTACCCACCAGCACAAGTAGCTCTTTACATTTCGTGGCAAAAAATGGCGACACGAAAATCACTAAAATTAGTGACAATGTGGTCACCAGTGATACCAACCTAGACTTTTCGACAGTCGAAAATTTAAAGTCGCTTTCTAGCGAAAAACAAACTTCTAGTTTGAAAGAAAGCGAAAAAGACCGAATCGTGATAAAACGGCCGAAAAAATTCATCCCTCCGAGGAAACTAACGCGTAAAGAAATCCAGGAAGAGTTCGACGAACAAGATCGACAGTTGTACAAGAGCGACCTTTCAGAGTCCGATTTGTCGAAATATTTGGAACAGAGATTGAACAGACCTTCAGTCAAGCAAGTGCAAAATTCCAAACATCTAGCTTTCGTGCGTCGAACGGACGACGGCGTCGAGGTGATTCCCGCGAAACCGGAGCCCCTGAAGAAGACCCCGTTCAGACGAAACCTGTCCACCAATAGCAATATCGACATGTCGATTTTTAGCGACAAGAACGCCAAGCGTTTTAACGAGTTTTTAAACTCGGAGGAGCGTGATGTTAAACGGTTTAAGTTTAATTTAGATTCGCAAAGTCAGACTGGTCGGGATTTTCATTTTCAACCTGAAACGATTTCTGATTATATGGCTGGTCTTGATAACTTGTTTAGGGGTCAAAATGAAGATAATTTTCACTCGTTGTCTACTATAACCCCCGTTGGGTACTACGCGGAGAACAGGGACGACATGAACGACATTGTTAACAAATATTTAAGTAGTGGAAGTTCTAGTCACGATGTAAGCATTTTCGAAACGTGTTCTCTTAACGAAAATGATTTAGTTTTGTAAAAAAGTCGTTGCAAATCTAGTGCGTTTTATTTATGACGTTTGGAAATTCACAAAATTGCGAATAATAGTGTCAAAAATGGGCAGAAAAGGCGCGGCTCCTTCCAAGCCTTGGAAATATCCGCCGCCGACGCGGCAGCCCCCAGTGAGAAAAGAAAATCGGCAATTCTCGTGAGTATCCACGAACCCTAAATCAGTCCAAATAAATTCGCGTTCACTATTTCGGGCGCAAATATTTGTGTGTCTCGACTACGTTGTAAATAATAATCGCGTGAGGGTGACGCATCCACTTGGCAAAAATTCAAACCACCTTTGTCTGATAAGCGATAAATAGAAAAATTTACAACATTGTGCAAACAACGGCAATTTTATCACAATATAACTAAAAGAGTTTTCCAAATGTGTCAAACGGTTTATTTATATTTTCAAAAATTCCGCCGACTTTTTTATTAGTGGAGAGCACCCAGTCCGGCTCTGTCCACCTGAACTTTGATCCACTACGTCACAACCCCACTCGCTCTCTCTTTCCAACGCACCCAATTAAACAAAGACAACACTCCCACAACCACCAATCGCAGCCCATTATTCTAGAAAATTCACTTGTCTTTATAAAAGCGTGTCATCCGAACATTTACGTAACATTTGCCAAAAATCGTCCTAAAAGTAAGTGTTTCGTACGAAAAGTGACAAAATGCCACGCCGCGGACGTTCAGCAAGCCCCACACCACGATCAGCACCTAAGTAATGGATTTTTGCAAAAAAGTGAGGTTATGTTAACTTATTCGTTCCAGAACCACTTTACCCGCTAGGACTCAACCCAGCGCCCCCGCGCACCCCCCGCCGGCCCAAGCAGCCCCCCAGCAGCCCGGTTTGTTCGGGCAGATGGCTGCTACGGCCGGAGGAGTGGCCATAGGGTCTGCAGTTGGACACACCATGGGGAGCGCCCTCACAGGTGATTTTGAGGTTAGAGTAAAATGCGGGGGCTGATTGAGTGTTGTAGGGATGTTCAGTGGCGGCTCTAGCGAGCCCGCTCCCCAGCAGCAGCAGCAGCAAGCGCCACAACAAGGGGGTTATTCTCAGGAGGCCACAGGGCCTTGTGCGTGGGAGATCCAGCAATTTTTACAGTGCGCACAAACTCAGGGTGATTTGTCGCTATGTCAAGGATTCAACGAGGCGATTCAGCAGTGCAAGATTAGGAATAGTGAGTCAGTGGTCTGAGGGTGATGGGGTTATTAATGAGGGTTGTTTTAGATATTCAATAGAGTGATTCTGAGGGAGAAATTCTAGTGTGGAAGAGAGTATGAAGGTAGACAGATGCAGAATTCCACTCTGTAGTGTTATTATGACGAAATTTCAATAAAGCATGCAGAGCAGTGGTTATTTTATATTTTGTATATTTATTTTAGTTATTTTGTTGTTATAAGTTTGTGTTGTTGTGAATTTGTAGTAATAAAGTTGTAGACGGACGAATTTTGTTTTTAATTTCGTTTAGTAGAAGGAAAATCATTGTATAAATAATCACGTGGTATAGGCAACCAGTAATACACTCAAGTTTGACAGGTGTATATGTAGTTTATCCACAGATTATGGTATGTATGGTTTAATTTCAAGATCCATATTTCTCTACAAAAAATTACCATTTTAAATATGTTTTAATTTTATTGCTCTGAAAAGACGACTGCATATATTAAGAAAAAATACAAAATATAAGCCCCGCCCACCCACCCTGTCTCGATTGTGATGATTTTTTTTTTAATAGTCAACAGCCAAAGGAGCGGAATTTAATTGCAAAATCCTCTTTCTTACAATAATTTACCATTTTAAACGTGTTTGAAGTTTCTAAGAAAGAAAAAATTATCACAACTGGGATGGGTGGGTGGGTGGGGTTTATATTTTGCCCCGTTTTTCTGAACGTACATATAAGCCAGAAAAGTCTTTTACGAATTTATTTGAAAATATAAACGATTAACAACGCGCGCAGCTTGTGTCTGAAGTGGTACTGACGTCCTCCCATTCCCCTCCAGCGTCGCCCGAGGCGGTGATGTCATCACCACCATTTCGGAGTTCGGGGAACTACTGGCGTCAGCATAAACGGTTGCCGCTTACTTACATAGAATTCTGTGAACAACACTATACTCAAAAGCACGTTTTTATTTTCTTGTAAAGAAATAAGTATTTTGCAGTTAAGCTCCACCCCCTCGGCTTACGACGAATAAAAAAGAAATCATCAGAATTGAGAGAGGGTGGGTGGGCGGGCTTACATTTTGCGTTTTTGTTTTAATATGTGTAGACTTTTTTTCACAACGTGAAACTTAAAACATCTTTAAAATGGAAAATTTGTATAAGGAAATATCGATTTTGGGATTAGGCTCAGCCCTATAATTGCAAAATCCATATTTTTTTGCAAAAATGTACTATTTTAACCATGTTTTCAGTTTCATGTTGTGAAAAGATGGCTATATATATTAAGAATAAAAATGGCAAAATATAAGGCCCGCCCACCCACCCCATCCCAATTCTGATGATTTCTTTTTTATTCGTCGTAAGCCGAGGGGCGAAGCTTAATTGAGAACCCTTATTTTTTACGAGAAATGATCATGTGAAATAGTTATGTTCTTAAATAATTGTGTTATACAAAGAAATCTAAATGTATTAATTAAAAAAGAAAACCGAAAGACATGGCCCCGCCCATCCGTTACCATCTCAATCGTGACCAATTTTTCATTCGTTGTCAGACCGAGGGGCGGAGCGTAATTGCAAAATCGATATTTCCCTATACAAATTTACCATTTTAAACATGTTTTGAGTTTCTTGTTGTCGAAATATGTCTACATATTAAGACAAAAAGGCAAAATATAAGCCCCACCCACCCGCCCTGTCTCAATTGTGATGATTTTTTTTTATTCTCCGTTAACCAAGGGGGTGAAACTTAACTGCATGTTTTTGAGTATCGTATTATTTAAAAAATAACACGTATATAAAGAAAAAATTAAAGACAAAGATTAAGCCACACCCACACCTGCCCTGATCTAAATAGAAATGAAGTTTTCATTCGTTACCAGACCTAGGGCGGAGCCTAAGTGGAAAATTCATATTTCCTTACGAAAATTTGCCAATGCCATTTTAAACGTGTTTTAAATTTCTAAGAATGAAAAAATCATCACAATTGAGATGAGGCGGGTGGGCGGGGTCTACACTGTGCCTTTTGTTCTTAATATACATTATATTCTTTGAACCACACTATATACTCAAAAACACGTTTTTAATTTATTGTAAAGAAATAAGTATTTTGCAGTTAAGCTCCGCCCCCACCTGGTTCACGGAGAATAAAAAAAATCATTACATTTGAGACAGGGTGGGTGGGTGGGCTTACATTTTGCGTTTTTGTTTTAATATGTGTAAACTTCTTTTCACAACATGAAACTTAAAACTTAAAATGGAAAATTTGTATAAAGAAATATCGATTTTGCAATTAAGCTCCGTCCCATCATTCCAAGATCCATATTTCCTTGCAAAAATGTACCATTTTAACCATGTTTAAGTTTCTTGTTGTGAAGAGATGGCTATGTACCTATATTAAGAACAAAAATGGCAAAATATAAGCCCCGCCCACCCACCCTATCTCATCCATACCTGCCCTGATCTAAATAGCAATGAAGTTTTCATTCGTTAGCAGACCTAAGGCGGAGCCTAATTGCATTATTGTGAAAAGATGGCTATGTCTATTACGAAAAAAAAAGGTAACCGTAATCTGTGGTCTATCAACAGTTCAAAAAGAGTACAACAAAATGAAAAATTATCAAAAAAAAAAATCCGAGAACCTTTTTAAGTAATATTTATTTCCAGTTCTATATTCAATTTTAAACACTTGACAGAATTTTATCTTAATCTAATCGTCATATTTTATATTTCCGGCCATAAAGTTCTACGAACAATCTTGCTTCCACATTAGCAGGAATTTCGATATCGATCTCAACATCGCTTTCCAGAAAATGGCCTTTAAATTCGTTAATTATGACAACAGACGATGTAAACGCATGTTTTCTGCCAAAATTCAGAACATTCACTGAAGAAACGATAACATTTTCTAGATTTTTGCGATAAGTGAGTGTTGTTTCTTTGCCAGAATTAACGAGGGTGTCTCTGATTAGCAAAACGTTGTCTTCAAACCCTGTAGAGTAGTCATCTTGTGCGGTACAAATTAAATCGCCGTAGTTGTCTGTGTCATCGTTGGAGAGTGGAACGCTGTTTTTGCAGACTGTTGACTCTTTGGCAAATTTTGTTGTGGGAGAACCTGTTGTGATGGGCCAAGTATGGGTTGTTGTTTCTGTTGTTGTAGTAGTATTTGTCCAGACTTCTGATCGCGTAGTATCTGTCCAGACTTCTGATCGTGTAGGATCAGGGGTAGTATCTGTCCAAACTTCTGATCGCGTAGTATCTGTCCAGACTTCTGATCGTGTAGGATCAGGGGTAGTATCTGTCCAAACTTCTGATCGCGTAGTATCTGTCCAGACTTCTGATCGTGTAGTGTCTGTCCAGACTTCTGATCGTGTAGGATCCGGGGTAGTATCTGTCCAAACTTGTGATCGTGTAGTATCAGGGGTAGTACCTGTCCAAACTTCTGATCGCGTAGTATCTGTCCAGACTTCTGATCGTGTGGTATCTGTCCAGACTTCTGATCGTGTAGCATCAGGGGTAGTCTCTGTCCAGACTTCAGATGGTGTAGTCCAGATTTTTGTGGGTGTGATATCTGAGGTAGTATCTGTCCAAATATCTGATGATGTGGTATCCCCAGACCAAAAAAACCAATTTGGCCAACCGTGCGCTACACTTAAGGAACACACTATGACACCCAAAATTAAGCGCATTGTAAATATGATTCGACCACTTATAGCAAACTCGGAAAGAGAAATAATAATTGTTTTCTGGTTCTTTACAGTCAATTTATAGGGTTTAAATCTACGTCTCTTATCTGTGATAAAAATTCAAATTATATTGTTTCAGAATATTGTCAAAGTTACAGTAGTGTATTATTGGTTGCCTACAACCACAAATTAAAGAACCGTATAGAGATTATTCGTGTATTGTTGGTTATTTACGACCGTGAAAACAACGTTAAAATATTTTATTATCACATTGTCCTTAAATAGATTCCACAATAGAAATCGTGTAGTATTATACAGGGATATTATAGACCTTCAGTTAACTTAGTTAAATTAAAATTATATTTTTAGCCATTTATTTTGGACAAAACTGCCTCAACTTAATTTTTAAAACAGAATTTACACATAATTGTTATTGTTGCTAGATTAGTAGTCTATAATCGTCGTGTTTATTCAAAGTAAACCGTCCAAGAAATTTTCTCCTTTCGAGCCGTCTTAAATACAAATACTATAAACAACTTTAAACGGGTACAACGAAAGTGCTTTCTCCCTCGTGTAACGCTTTATTATCAATTTATCACGTTCAAAAACCACATCATTAATTTTACGAGCTTCACAAACCCTCCCACTAAGAGCATCGACTTCGCAATTTAACAAAATACACAAATCGCGCGAAAACAACCACGGAAGTAATTTACCGATAATTTATCACTATCGCACTTACACACATAAATTACATAGATTTATCGATATTTTGCAACAGGTAAGTGACTAACAACTAATTAAATTTATTCCGTAACTTTCAAGGCTCTCGACGGCATTTTCGAAGCTCTTCGCACATAACCAGAATGAATGAAGAGCTAAATTTAAGTTTGTTTACATCGCTGGAGCATGTTTTTTGACGTAAGGCTTACGTAGGTGAAAACTGGAACGGGTCCAAGTCCCAAAAGAAAAAAATCTAATTGGTGTCTGCGAGCCATTAATGTTGCAACGACAGATATCGAGTTACCCGCTCGATTGTCGGAAAGGGTCCGATAATGGGTTAATTATTCATTTTGTCGGTTCGGGTAAATTAATGAAGTCATTAAATTGGCGCAAATTGATTTGCATAAATAAATAAATAGGCAACCTTTTTCTAAAAATAACTGCGTAGATAGAGTTTAATGAATGCGGAGAGTTGAGGAAAACGTAAATAAGCGTGGGCGGATGGAGATTTAAGGGTTTTTCTGAGTGCTCATTTATTCGACTAGAGTTTTTCTGTTGGCGTAACTACATTTCCCTAAATACTAATGTCAGATTTACGTCAATAACATAAGCGCTTTTAACTGACATTTGCATTTATGTACTTAGTGTTGCTCCAAAGGATATTTAGTTAATCGTTTTTTTTTATTACCAACCGTGAAAAAATGCCCCCAGAAGATTTATAACATGAGTGGCTTTTAAATGAACCATAATTACACCGACGGAATTAATTATGATGGGGTATTAGCGTGATCAACACATATTGTTTGTGTTTGTTATTTATTATTACTGTAGAATTTATAGATTTTTGGGTACGAATTGTTGGTTGCATAACGCCAAATTAAT